CCCACACCAGTACATGAGCTACATCATGTAGAAAGACATCCACACTTAATTTAAAGACCTTTTTTGGTGATGGAGAATCTGCCATATCCCATGTCAGCTCCTCCAGCAGTTAATTACAAGGCTATTAAGGAGAAAAATATGCCTCATTTTCAACCTGATTTTTTTTTTTTTTTTTTTAGCTTCTGTCTTCCTGGCTCGTATACTTTTGTCTGCTGGATTAAGTAATCCTCTGATACTGCACTGCTCCTTTATATGTAGATTCTTACAGATCATGGTCAATTCATCTCTTATGCTGCTCTTTGATAACATAAATGGATTGTACTCCTTTGGGTCATCGGAAAATACACTTTCAATCAGCCTCATAGCCCTTCTTCCAGCCTTTCTGAGTTTTTCAACGTTTTAAAGCGTTGACAGCTGAACTGGACTGTTTTGGTCTCATTAATGTCAGATACAGCACTAATACATTCCCCTTACCACTCAAAACTCCCATTTACTAGGGAGGGTCATATTAGCCCCTTTAGCAAGAGCAGCACTTGGGGAACTCACATTCAGTTGTTTATCCATCAGAACCTCTACAGCAAACAGCCGGTGTGAGCTTCCTGAATATCCCCTTCATGAAACCTCCCATGGGATCACTCTTCATTTGCAACTCCTCTTCTGAGACCTGTCGTTTAACTGCCTCTAATCCATTTAAAATCTGCCTCATTGATTTTTTCACAGTGCTACTGCTCAAAACAAAGCCAGCAGCAACGCGTTGCCGCCGGGATCTCCTGGATGCTCCCCAGGCTCCATTCCTGTGGAGGTGGATGAGCACGTTCTTTTTCACAGGGTGGTACCCAGAGCAGGGGACACAAGTGGGTGCCACTTTGCGATGGGGGTCTGCTGCCTCCTCAAGCCTGTATGGGAAGCAAGGAGAGCTGGAGCAGAGCCATGAGCTCTGGAGCAAACAAAGAAGGTAAAGCTAGCTGACGGCAACAGCAGAGCAGAGAGCAGCTATTCTTGTGGTTGGATAACCAGCCTCTCTATGACTTTCAGACAGTATTTTGAGACAATATCCAATATGCAGGGGGTCCCAAACCATGGCTAAAGATCCCATGGAAATGCCCTGCTGACTGCTTGAATCCATACTGCTTTTCTGGTGGTTTTAATTTAAGTCAGATGGGGAGGGCTTTGTGAGCGGCGACCCGAGAGATGCTGAAGGCTGAGGGTGGTCCTTGGTCCAGCACGTTTGGGTAATGTTCCAGGCAGTCTCGTTTTTCCTCTTGTTTGCCTCATCCCTGGGGGAATGGCAGTACATGATCCAAAAGCTCCGTATTTTGGGAGCAGGAGGCAGCCTGTTACTGGACTAATAAGGCAGAGGAGGAGAAATGTTCATTTCCTCTACCTAATGCACAGCAGCCCAGTGGAGCAGAGGGAGGGCAGCAGAGCTGCTGAGGGGCCGTTGCTGTCACCAGCAGCAGTTGGGCACCGGCAGCCCCAGGCTGTCCCAGCTGCTGAGGCCTCTGGTCGGGTTGTACCTCCCACAGCCTGCCAGCACTGGGCTGAGCCCGGGGCTGAGGGTGTGAACACGCATAGCGCGGCTCTATCCTTCATGCTCTGCATTACAGCTTAAACAAAGGCGGAAAAACCCTGCGTTTTCCCCCAAGTGCTACAATTTCTTGCTGTAACAATGACAGGCAGAGGCTTATCTGGCCTTCCTGCGTGTGGGAGCATTTTCATTGTGCTTACAGCTGCACTTCTCATCCGGGGCAACTTTCTGCAGCTAAATAAAATTGTTCAAATGAGTTAATCAGCTTAGCACGATGGTTCCCAACATTTTCCACCAAACAATCTGCCTCCCACGTTGTCTCCTTCCACCCCGCAGTGGGGAGAGCCGCGGAGCCCCAGGGCTGAGCGTCGGGCACCGACCGCGGCTCCCCGGGCGCTCCCTGGCAGCGCTGAGCACAGCTCGAGCTGCGACTTGCTCCGTGCCCTCAGGCGCTTCCTTTCTCTGCGCTAAAACTCCCCAGCGAAGGAAAAGTGTTTCTCCAGATCTGTCTTCAGGCACTGGAGATGGCCACACACATCTCCAGCCTGCCCCTCTGCCGGGGGGGGAGGGGGGCGGGAGGGAAGGAAGGAGGACTGAAGCTTTCAAGGCTTTGGATCACGGCAGTAAAATGCCTTAAGTATGGGGCAAAAACGTTTTGTTTGTTTTGCTTGGGTTTTGTTTGTTTTGTTTTGTTTTTTAAATTGGTATTCACCCATTGTCTCAAGCCTCTCTTCCAGCTTGCCCTTATGCCCTGCTTTGCACAGCAAAGACGTAGGGAAGGCCTGCCCGGGGTGGTGCTCCAAAGCACGATCCTCACTGTGATGCTGGAATGAGCTTCCATGATGTCGTCAGTTCCATGAGTTTGGTACTGGCGCTGGTTGAGGCTGCACCTCCAATGTTGTGTTCAGTTTTGGGCCCTTCGCTGAGGTCCTGGAGTGTGTCCAGAGAAGGACATCAAAGCTGTGAGGGGTCTGGGCCACAGGTTGTATGGGGAGCAGCTGAGGGGGCTGGGATTGTTCAGTCTGGAGAAGAGGAGGCTCAGGGGAGACCTTACTGCTCTCTATAACTACCTGAAGAGAGATTGTGGTGAGGTGGGAGCCAGCCTCTTCTCCCAGGTAACAGCAATAGGATGAGAGGGTATGGCTTCAGGTTGCACCAGGGGAGGTTCAGGTTGGATATTAGGAATAATTTCTTCTCTGAAAGAGTGGTCAGGCATTGAAACAGGCTGCTCAGGTTGTTGGTGGAGTCGCCATCCCTGGAGATGTTTAGGAAATGCGGAGATGTGGCACTGAGAGATGTACTTTACTGGGCATGGTGGGGATGGGCTGATGGCTGAACTAGATGATCTTAGTGGTCTTTTCTTTCCAACCTTAATGATTCTATGGTTCTATGATTCTATGTCTGGCACCCCGTCCAGCTGCATCCTCAAAACCTCTGCAGATGGGGAGCAGATTGTGCCACTGTTCTCAGTGTTAGGCAGCTCTCCTCATGTTGAGATGGAAGCCATCCCAGAGCAGTCATACTGGAGGGAGCCGCTGACCCCGCAGAACAGCAAGAGCTGTGGATGTGCCCCAGTTCCTCAGCTGACAGCCTGATGCATTGACTTAAATGAGCCAGAGCATGTCTGGAATTACTCATCACTACATAGTGGTAGGTTTCTACCTCCAAGAGGTAAAAAAAGAAGAGCTAAATTCAGTTCCAGCTGAAATGCAAAGTAATGATAATTAACAAAGTTAACTCTTTGCTTCCTGCTCTCATTGTACCTACAGAAAAATCAGTCAGTAAGAAATCTCTGTAGAATGCTTAGTGCAACATCTGCCCCTCCACCGAGTTGGGATTCCCCGCAGATGCTTGACTGAAGTTCTCCGTTCCTGCAGGTGGCCCCTCTCACTGTGTCAGTGTCCCCATCCCTGGAAAGCTGTGAAAGTAATATCTACCCTGAATCTTTCTAGCTGCTGTTTCAGCCCATCACTGCAATATGGGGAGTGAGGAGGAGACTGATCCCCTTTTTACCCTAGGACATAGTTGCAGCAATTTGACTCCCTTCTATCCCCTCCTAAGGTCTTGGTGCCATTTAGTTAATGCAAAACAGCTTCCCTTTAAAGTATGTTTCTGACATGCACTGCTTCAGTGCATTTCCCACTTGATGTTAACAGCAGTGGAAGGCAAGGAGTCCCGTTAGGTGCTGAAAAGCAAGAAGGCAGTGACAAGGCAGTGGCACAAATGAGGTGAAGGAGGAACCAACCTCAGACAAATTGAAGCAGGGCTGATTGGAAACCTCACCCCCAGAGGAGCTTTGGAAGCATCACAGTGTGCTGAGACCCTGACAGATCGAGCATGATGCAGCAAGAGCTGAATGCCAGTACTAACAGCAGCCTCTTCTTTCTTTACAACTGTACCAAGATGCCTGTTCAGATCAGTCCCACTTGCAACACAACCTTTGAAGCAGCAGCGTCTTGGCAGAGTTGCAGTTTTTCTGTTCAGTCTCAAGGTTCAGCAGTGGCAGCTCAGCACAGTTCCCATTTCAGATTACAGGTGAGAAGGTGGGATAAGAAACAAAGGACCTTGTTTTTTCTCATGCAGCATGCCAGTGGTGGGACTGGGAGCTTCTCTGATGCCTTCTGCACTTCACTACGGACTAGAGGCATTTGCTCCCACCACGTGGCTTTGCTCCACCTTAGCACAGGGCAGCCTGGTCTGGTGGTTGGCAGTCCTACCTATTGCAGGGGGCAGGAACTCAATGGTCTTTAAGGTCCCTTCCAATCTAAGCCATTCTCTGATTATCTGATTCTTCTGATTTCCTTCAGCCCAAGATGTATACAGATTTGTGCTAAAATGGAGCTTTCTCTGCTAACATATTCTTCTCACTAACAAAGTTTATGGAGTAGAAAGCTTTTTAAAGATGTAAACAGAATTTAGTAAATTGCAGCCCAATCACAAGATGTTACAATAAAAAGCATGATTTCTCTTTTTTTAGATGACAATTTATCCTGACTTTGTCAGTTACACTGCATGCTATGTAATTTCATTCTATTATTTTGTGTTAAGCCCAGTATTTTCTGTTTGACCAAAATATCTCATCAATCTCTACCTTACAAATAAACGAACACTCATGGGTATGGCTGAAAACAACAACAACAAAAAAGCACACTAATATGGGAGAACACAATACCGTGCTGGAACTTCAGTATTAGTTTCTGGAACTACCTCAGTTGCTGACTTGTACATCACTGTTGTGCCCCAAGTGCTCATCTATACAGGGAATAACCAGGGGTGGGTTGGAGATGGGGCGATGTGCACCCCATCCAGTACCTGCTTCTTTGGTGCTCTGGAGATTTGTTGAGGCCCTGGTGTGTGTCTAAATAAGGGCAGTGAAGCTCTGAAGGGTCTGGAACACAAGTCTGCCACAAAAGTAGCAATGCACTGGCACAGGCTGCCCAGAGAACGGTGGAGTCACTGCCCCTGGAGGTGTTCAAGATAAGGGTAACTGTGGCATTAAGGGACACGGATTAGTGGGCACTGTGGGGATGGGTTGATTATTGGACTAGATGACCTTAGAGGTGTTTTCCAGCCATAATGATTCTATGATTCTATGAGATGTCCTACTGCACCTACGAGTACTTTGCATTTCATAACACCTGCAGTGCCAGGCAGCAAATTCCTCACATCCCGTGCTGGAGCCCCATCAGTCCAGGACAAGCAATGGGTCAAGCCCTGAATTTGTTTAAATCAGACAAAACCCTTTTACTCTATAATAAAAATTCCATGTTTTAATACATTGCCATGCACAAATGAAGTCAAACGATGCGGAGTACAAAATTGTCAAATATACAAAATGATAAAGCAGATATCCAAAGCTTCCAGAGATCATGCCCAAAGATACCAAAAACTTGATATTGATTTTAATTTCATCATTTATTAGAATTCTTCCCTCCCACCCAGGTTTTATTTTTCATTGATTTTTGAAAACGGAAGGAATTAAAGCGGAAATACAAAAACTGTAGGGTGGAATTAACAGTGATGGCCACTTCGTGTACTAAAAATTAGATTGCATGATAATTTCAGTTCTGGGAAAAAAACACTGCTGTACAGAGGAACACCTTGGATGCCTGGGGAAGAGCAGAGCACATCCAACAGAAAGGCACACTTTGTTGTTATGCCACCTCACTTGGCTTCATCTCTAAAATGCTCTCATAGAAGACTGGGAATAATAGTGTGTGACATGTTCACGTTTTGAGTGCTGCCATTCTGCCAGATTTTCAACCAAGTTAACATTAAAAGGAGGTTACAGGAGAATTTTCCTGGTGCATGTAGCTCAGGGCTGAGGCTGAAGGTGGCTCGGGTTCCCTCAGCTCCTGTCCATCACCAGTGGATGGGGCTGGTTTGGTTCTTTGTATGGGCCACAGTTTTTGGGCAGTCTTTGGAGATGATGCTACAATTCCAGCTGTGAATTTTCAGCTCTCCTCAAAGACAGGCTCAGCTAAAATCAGCTCCCTGAAATGGAGGAGCCAAATGCTGGCAGACATAATGTCAGACTGATCGTGGGTGGGTCTCACTGTCATCCATGCTCAGATGTGAAAAAGGAATAACAACCATGAGGCAGGTCCATATATCTGGAGCCCTTAAAAGAACCTGAAGACAAAGCCAGGTGCATCCCAACCCAAGTACAAGATGGCCCAGCCCAAGGCAGGGGTGGGACCGGATGATCTGGTGTTACTTAATGTCCTTTCCAACCTCAGTCACTTTGATTCTATGACTTTGGTGCTGGCAACTCACATTTGCAGGTTCTTGCTCCAGGCAATTCACCCTTATTTAGGGGAAGCCTACCATTCAGCAATGACCACCAACAGTAATGGCCCTGAGCCTGCTAATCCTGCAAGGTGGTCTGTTGGTCTGTCTGTCTGTCCATCTCCTGCCACGGCCCCAGGACAGCCTGGTGCAGGGCTCTGAGTGCCCTGCGTGGCCAGCTTCTTTCTCTCCATCAGTAGAGCTGAGCTTAGTGGGGAGAATGATGAGCTTTGTGTAACCCTTCGTGTAAACTGGAAGCTAACATCCCTCTGTGATTTCTCCAGCACACTGGAGGTCACCTAATCTTTTTCTTACCCCTCTCAGAAGAAAAGCAGAGGAGCCTCCAACACACAGTAAGAGGGCTCCAAGCGTTTGTCTGGATGTGTCCTAAGTCCAGAGCCCGGCTCAGTAGGGAAAGCCCCCGCCTAGGTGTAAAACCAAGCTCTCAATAAACAAACCCAAACAAATAGGTCCCCTAAGGATCCATGGGCAGATTTTTTTTTTTTTTCTCTGCACACCTTTTTGTTGCTTACATGCACTTGGGCTGCAATATTGGTTTCCCTGCTTTAAAAAAAAAAAAAATCTGTATGTCACTATTTAATTTGGTAACATGATATTAAATAGATGAATCCTAGGCAAGTGCTTAATAGAAGTAATATGATTACAGACATAACAACAGTTATACAGGATTTTTTCTTTTTCTGAAAAGGTATTTAGAGATACTTGGAATTAAAAGCAGAAAGGAGCTTTTCATCTCACTCTGACTAAGCCTGTCTTACAACAGTGCTGAAATCCCACTTTTAGGGAAGAGGCAGCCCTTGTGCAGCCATCATAGGACTGCTCCACTGCTGGCACATAAGCCAGCAACCCTGCAAATGTACCTGACTGCAGCTGGTATTGACCAATGTTCTCTGAACAATAAATCTACACCAGACTCATTTTCTTAGGATTTCACACTGGATTAGAGCAAGAATCCCCAAAGATCTTTATCTTCTTAGCTATGTCCCTTTCTGTTCCAGCTTCTTGATATTGATTCAATACCAATTTGCAGTAAGTATTGCCTTTATGGTTTCTTTTGCCTGTGTGAACTGTTTACTCTCTAAAATACACATCCTATTTTGTGCCATTTTCTACAGCACAACAAAGAACTCTGAAAGGCAGCTCATAGCTTTGTGCTTGCCTTGTACCTGAGAGCAGCAGCTTCATGAGACGTGGATAAGAAGCCGAGCACTCCTGCTTATTTTGAAGGTACAATATTCAAAGCAGCCACCTGCAATAATGCTCTCAGTGCACATTGCTCTGGGTTATCCCATTGAACTCATTTCACTATGAGGGCTCCATTCACCAGCTGCAGAGGGGCTCATTGGCAGAAAAGGAACAGTTGGCTTTGTACCCTGTTCAACTGCAAAGCAACACAATGTAATTCTCAATCAGCACTTCAGCTCCTCTACTAGCTGTTGAACATAAAACCTGTTTCATGCCAGCAAAATGGTGCCTACTTGATCAAGAGGCAAAGCCATGGTCTCACTGCATGCTCACGTGGGTCACGTGGGTACAGGACTTTATCCCAAGCTGTTACCACCGAACAACAACAGAATAATTCTGTATGGCCAGCATCTTTTGTTGTCCTTTCTTGTTTTGTTCTCTTCTGCAGCCACATGCAGAAGAACCTTTAAATGCGAGGAGACCTACTGCAGCTCCCACCAGTTACAGGTCAGTTCATAGCTCTCTAAGACAATATTGTGTGAAAACAATGGATATAGGTGGGCCTGCTTTCCTTCTGTATTTAAACTTCATGACATTTCAATTCAGAACCTTGCATGTGATGATCTAGTGATGATCCTGGCTGAGCTCTTACACAGCGCACACCTCACTGCCTCATCCAGGGACTACTGAACAGAGCCTACATTTCCATCTGAGGTAGAGCTTATTGACTTAGAAAAAAGCTCTGCATATACTTAAAGACCTTACGTGATAGAGAATGTAATGGAAAGTAAGTTGTCTCTATGTGTAATTATCCTCCCCGTCGAGCATTTGTGCTTAATTTCTAGCCTGAAATCTGTTTCCAGCCAGTAGAGCACATCATTCCCTTTTCCTCTGAATAAAAGCACTACCTGTCCTCAGCCAGCACTTCCTGCACAGGTAGAGCTTGTGATTGCAGGCAGATTGAGTCATCTCTTCACATCGTCTCTGATAAATTAATAGCTTGAGTTTCATTAGTCTAGCACTATAATAAGAGCTGTTTTCCTGCCCTTGAATGACACTGGGAGCTTTAGAAAACAATCTTTCCGAGTTGTCAATATATGAAAGATGCGCACTGTTGCCAGATCCTAGACATCCTCCAAGTCCTACTGATGGTGCTCCTCAGAGATGACACTTTCCTAAGAGCTCCTGGGGGCTGACGCTGAGTAGATGACATTGACCTTCATGGCCACCCAACTACAGACACATTCCCAAGCCCCAAGGAGGCTCTTCTCCTCCCCTTGGCTTCTCCACTTGCAGCACTCCAGATTCATCACCATTTCATGGCACACACCTGGCTCTGTCATCTGTAAATGCTCCAACAGTAATTTTCTGTTTCTCTGGGAGAAATATTGAAAATAGAACATACCTTGGGAGGAGCTCATTAGAAATAGTCTCACTGATGATAATGTCATATTTGTAACCATTTTTTGTGAGCTAGCAACTAATCAGTTTTAATCCACTTAGCGTGGTCTATTCTGCATTGCGCCTTTTTGTTCTTTATCAGAATCAAATGATCTATAGGAGGCTAAGGATAGCATGTCAGCAGAGCCTCCTTTATCAACAAGCCTTTGATATCACAAAAAATGATAACAAATTTACTTGACACAAATTCTATAACAATCATTTGGAGGGGTTTATCAATTTTTAATTGCTTTAATGATTGCTTCATATCAACCTTTCTATGATTTTACCCCGGACTGATATTAAGCAAATGAGCCTATAGTTTTCTGCATCAGGTCACTCATTCTTTTTCATTATTGCTTTGGGGTTTGGTTTGTTTTTGTGTAATTTAAAGCTTCTTTCAATGCTTTTAAGTTCTGAAAAATCTTACGCTTAAGTTTCCCTACGCTCACATATCTGGTTGTGTGAATTTAAGAATATGTTTGGATAGCTGCTGCTTAATATTACCCATAATTACTGATGGAGTAGGAGGAATTACATTTTAGTGTGAAAATTGACTCCTTTATTCTACTGCTTTCAAATACAAAACAAGAATATTTGTTGGTTTCACATGTTCAGTGAGTAACCACCATGCTGTACCTAACATCGGGTTCACTGCGGCTGTTTATGAGGATGCAGAATGCATTTGGTCTCACTAGCCCTAGTCTGCTGGCCACTGACCTCCCCTACATTTTTTGGCTTCCCACATCAAACATCTGCTTTGCTTATTTGTTGATTTAAACTCACATGCCTGCCTAATCACTCATGCATTTTGTTGGTGGCATTTTTGCACTCCAGATGGCTTACTTGCATTTTACCATAGGAGGCTGCAGGTAATGCTGGTAATACTTTCCCCCAGTCATCAATTTTCGTTGTAACAGAGGACTTTTTAAATTAAAATCTTACTGATCAGTTTACATATACTCGGGTCAATCAACATAGCCTTGTAGCAGGGTCCTTCAAAGGAGAGTCAGACTGCAGAGAGTTAAAAGGGGACGGGGGTGAAAAATGCAGGATTTTACTCTGCTTGCCTGAAACTATTTTGAATAATTGAGATCTCGTGGCTTTGGGGAGGGCGGAGGGAGGCTGCTTTTGGCTATAGCACAAAATCCCTCAGGACTGGCCCCACAGCTGGCATTAACCAACACACCTCAGGAGAAGGATGGAGCAGACTGTTGTAGGTCTGCTGGGGACCTGGCCTAGAGTCTTCTGCAAATAGGGAACAAAACAAAGAAAAAATTTTGTCATTAATAATGGTTTGATTTCCTTAGTGACACTGCAGCTGCTTTCAGTCTGGCTGCCGAGAAGCAGCCAGCCAGGAAGGAGCCCCCTGCTACAGCATGACACAGATGGACCAGCAAGGCTAAGGGGCTTGCAGGGCTTTTGCAGTCTCCCCTCCTGGGGAGCTGTGTTCTCCCTCAGAAAATAAGTGATGGGGACTTCGGGCAAAGAAAGCCATGCAAATGAAAAAAAGCAAGGACTAAACCGGTGCAAAAGATGTTTTCATTCGCAGCATGTTTTTTGAGGAGAGCAATTCCTCCAGTTTTCTTATGTTGCACTTGGCATAATTTGAAGCACTGAGGATGGCTGATTCTCTGCGTGTCCCTGCCCAGAGAGCAGTGGCCAGGCACTGCACAGGGATGCTTCTGCTCCATCGTCTCAGAGCTGTGAGCAGTGATCAGTGCAATGGTAGCACTGGGCTTTGCGACTATATCCAGCTCCACAGGGCTGATAATTGCTCCTTTATTAAAATAGCATTCATCTTCTACTCTTTTGCACAGAACTAATGGCTCTGAGCATATTTAAATTCACTTCCTCTGCCGGAATAACTTATTCACTCCCTTTCATGTTGACTTGGTCTTTGGCACTCTCGACATAAATGATTTATTGACTGGAGATAAAGCATTGTTTCCACAGAACTGTTCTTGCGACCCAGGCAAAAGCGGATGTGTCCGCTCTTAATAAGGTGTTCAGCATAAAAAATGCAATAGACTTGATTGTCTGCACTCAAGAGCCTTTCCGAGAATACAGTACCTGCCCCCATTCACAATAACAAAAAAAAAAAATCTCCCCCACATTTTTATTTATATTAAAAAGTTTTCGGAAGAATACGCTGGGATCCAGATAGTTGTTCAGTAGCTGCAGAACAATTTCATAAATATCCCTGAGGAAGCATGGCCTACTTTGGGAGAATAACAGTGATTAAAAACATCCAAACACGATGAATAGTTAAATACAAGCCAAAAAGTACAGTGATTTCCTTATGGCTCCTGCAGACAGTTACACACGTGAGGAGTGTCGCGGGGCACGAGGGAACTGTTCTTGCTTATGCTTAGAGTTCTCCACATGCACGGCTGTCTGTAGGATGGAGACCTACAGCGCTGCCAAATGAGCTTGGTCCATGGGCACCTACAGCAGAGCTCTCACTGAGTTTGGCTACACGAGGGTCTGTATTTGTTTTCACATTTCTCAGGGCCTGTAACACTGGTTTTCTAGATCACCATAGCTAGAATCCTGGGAAGCTTTTAAAACAAACTGTTTTAATGGGAGAAGTGCACACATCTAAATTCATGACCATCTACTGGAAGATGTTCAAAACTAACACTGATACAAAAATGCTTCTAGCAGCTCTTTGCCTAACTCATATTTTTCTCCTATGACCTTTTAGGATAATACTCTCTGATAAACTCTTCTATTATCATTCAAATTATGCCAGAATTTTTCGCTGGATAATAAAATAAGAGAATTTCTACTGCAGGAGTATAGCATTCTCCTTTTGAAAATAATTTATATTCAAGTTGTTTTTTGTTTGTTTGTTTGTTTTTAATTGCTATACCAACACAAAATTGGTGTCAGTTGCCAGAGCGCATTTTTAAAATCTGTAGCAGAAAGAGCTGTAAAATTTACTGGAGCTTATAATGGAATTCTGCAAGGTGCTCAGCCACTTCTCTCAATAAGGATCAGATTCCAACCTGCAATACTATGAAAAGCTCTAAAAAGTGCAAATGATGCTGTTGGCAAAGATTTTTACATCATAAGGAGAACTTGTACACCAATAAATGTAAAATTAGGGCCAGGATTTTCAGAAAAAGAATATAAAGCTTACTGCCTTATACTTTTTGGGAGATTCACTTGGAAAGACCCAAACCCATGCAAAGACCCATACCACTAGAAATCACTAGCAACTTCTGAAAATCTTGGCCGTCAATTTCCTTCTTGAACAGTAAAGAAGTATTCAACATGCTGAATCTGAGCTGGGTGGAGAGCTGTAACCTAATCCTGCACTCATCTGAAAAAAATTACATCCTCAATGTATTTATTTGTTGATTCTACAGGCACCCTCAGAGGCTGACCTTGAATTCTCTAGCAATGAACTGTACAATAGTTTTTAAGTATCATAACACAGGAATTTGCTCTAAAAAGGTGCCTTTACCTTGATGTAATTGTGTCTTCTCTCCACTGCTGCATCTTCACACCTGTATGGCACTTCATCCACAGTTTGGCATACACACTAAAAGCAACTCTACTGTATCTGCCTATTAGGTTGGAGAGAATGACAGTTTTTAAATATACAAAAGCTACCTTTGATTTTAAAGAAATGAGGAACAAATAGGTAAGTCCCCTTAGCATGTTGATGGCATCAGTTCATCACAAAGAGTGTGTCAAGAAGGTCCTGATGTTAGGGACAGACATTAATTCCACTAAATCCCCGTGGAAAAAAAAAAATAGTACCACAGCCAGCTGTGATACAGCCAGTGATGAAGCCAGCCATTCAGAGACTGAACAAAAATCAATGCTCAGATTGAATGCAACAGTCTTGAGCCTGCTACAGTATATTGAAAGGCTTATTAGAACCGTTTGCTTATTCCTATTTCCTACCAAAATATGCTTTTGGATAGAAAGTGGAAAAAGTTAACAAAGAAGTCTGCCCCCGTTGGAGGGAGTGTCTCGCTCCTCAGAAGTATAGTCTTATGCATTACCTTTTTCAGAGCATTTGGTTTGGACTGTGATTCCCAAGTCCTGCCCAAAACATAAACAGTGGCCAGCAAAAAGGATCTGAATTCTTCCAGTTTGTTCTGTTCCTAGTGTAGACCAAACTCTAGGTCCAACTCCCCTCTGAGAAGGGTGCTCTCCCTTTCCTCTCCCTCACTGAGTAAGAAAACACATTGGCATAACAGGAATGAGAGCCTTTGATATCTGCTGGATGGGAGGGAGAGCAGACACAGTGTCCTAGAGCTCATTCAACCAACCCTGTTCTTGGCTACCTCTGTGGCAGCTGTTCTGCAAGTCTCCACGAAGTCACACCTCTGCCATGTGCAAATCTATCTACACAGTGTACTGTGACTCGGTGAAGGTATGCTAGTAGTGGACTTCAGTTTGGATGCAGTCTCAGCACAACTACTGAAACATATCCTCAGTATTTAGGAAAGACCATTATATATATATGGACTGTGCTAATTCTGTGCAGAAAGCACGCATGAAGTGCTGATATTGTTTAACGGAATACTATTAGACTGCAAAACTAACACATACAAGACTTCTACATTCCTATCAGGGGTGTAGTAATGTGAACATATCCACGGAGATTGGAGAATTCCTGTAAGTTTTTCCTAAAACATCATGCCATCTGCATACATAATAGAAGAATCCAGTAGTTGCCATGCTAAAACAGGACTTCTAGTGAAGGGCATAGGCAGTCCCCTAAAGGGAACCCAAAGTTATGCACAGTGATGAAAACCGGAAGAAATTTTCCAGCTAAAGGTCTGTCAATGACCATTTTGAACAAATTAGCACTGGATATTATGCACCACATTTTTACTCCACAGCAAACCAGGTCTTCTCAGAATGCATCATCTTGAGTGGGCTGATTTTACTTCAAGTTTGTCTTCACTCCTCCAAGGTCACCTTCTGGCAGTGCCATTGATTATGTTTTTTTTCATGAAGGAAAGTTCATTTTCATATCAAGTGGCAGGACAGCAGCTTTACAGGCTGGAAATGTTTATGGAGAGCTCTCTGCTGGGGCTGTAAGAAACAAAACAGAAAACCAAAACGAGACAGTGAGCATAGACCAGAGTAAAGGAATTACCATGTATTTCAACTACATGTTTGTGCTGAGCAAATGCATTTCTGCTGTAAAGATAAACTACTCTTAGAACATACATTATGACCCTGGCACTTTCTTTAATCAACTTTACTCATCAACCAAAAAACTCCGTGCTTAATCAATTTCTTAGATAAATATAAAGTGCAGACCAGCAATCATTTGTCTGATTTAACAAATGCTGTTTGAATTTTATTGCCTCATCTTAAAGCACTGCTCACTCTTTCTCCAATCTAAGTCCCAGAGGGGCTGGGTCTTGGCTGGGCTTGCATAAACTACTGAGGCACCTCAGTAGCCAAATGCTGGAAAGGTTCAAGTGTCAATGTAGAGGTTGATGCTCTCTCACCACTTCTGCTGGTCAAGACAGTAAGACTTGGCCACTGCTGTAGTAAAGCACCTTCAATTTCTGTAGCACTGAAGCTGCTATTCCTTGCCTCACAGTCCTCACAAAGCTGTAAGTCAATCACATAACAAAAGATTATGTGGAGGTTTCTTATAATTTCTTCTCTCCTCTGCCAAACTCTTCTCTGAGATGCAAAGCAGAAAGACAAGAGATAATGGACGCAAGATGCAGTAAGAGATATTCCAGGTAGATACAAGGAAAAAGTGCCCAGCAAGAGTGGCTGAACATTGAAACAAGTTACAGGTTGTCCAGTCTCCACCTGCAGAGATTGTAGTGCCACAGAATCCTTAGATTTGGAAGGAATGTTTAAAGGTCATCCAACTCCCCTGCAATAAACCAGGACACCTACAGCTAGATCAGGGTGCCCAGAGCCCCATCCTGCCTGAACTTGAATGACTCCAAGGATGGGGTATCCACCACCTCACCAGGCAACCTGTTCCAGTGCTTCACTACCCGTACCATAAGAATCTTATTCCTTATATCGAATCTGAACTTCCCCTCTTTTAGTTTGAAATCACTTCCCCTTTTCCTTTCATAACAGACCCCGTTTAAGAGTGTGTCCCCTTCTTTCTTACAGCCCCCCTTTCAATACTGAGCTCTGCTCTGCAGGGTTCAATTGTCAGGTTCTGCCATCCTGCCTACATTCACCTCTGGAGCCCCAAACCATTGCTGCTATGGAAATGAAGGGTTGCTTGAATGGGGGGAATGGGCAGGATGCAAACCTGCAGGTTCTGGAAGAGCACTGAGTGAGATTTTACAAAAGATAAGAAAAAGAAAAGATAAGCTAAAAACACCTTATTCCTCAGTTTAAATATGGTCTGTGACATAGAAGAACAATAAAACTCAGTCTTCTTAGCCACTTTCTTCCTTATTTAGGCACATTCACTCAATTACAGTGCTTGCTTTCATTTTGGTTTCCACTACTTTTATTCTCAAGGTCCTTGAGTGCAGTGATCCCTCCAGCACCTGCTGTCATCTGCTCCTCGACAGACCCGCGTCCAAAGTGGCCTGAAAAAGGAACGTGTTTGGGACCCAACAAATGTTTATTCTATGAGAGAACTGACAGGAAAGTTTTGATCCTTCACCTGGCACAGGCAGATAACTGACTGCATCCCCTGGGGCAGAAAAGGAAGCAATGGGGATATTAAGCAGGTGTGAAGATTAAGGGGAAATCTGGGGAAAGGTTTTAAACTTGGAGAGAAGCAAACAGGTACCTAACCTCAAAAATGTTGGATTCCGGGTGAACTGGGATTTTTGTAGCGTTGGCAGAGATGCAATTGTTTCACAAAGGAGAAATAAGACTTCTTTTTTGAGGCTAAATAGCTCATGTGCTGCAAGGAAGGGGAAATTTGAAAAGCTCTCCCAAGCAATCAAAATATCTCACCTATCCGCAGAGTGACAGAACTAAAAAGAAACGGGCAAACTGGCGACTTACATCAGGTCAGGCCTCAAGATTCCCATGCTGGAATTCCCACCATCCCCTCTGTCTGAACCCTTGGCCTGTGCACGTGTCTGGGTTTTACGTCAGTCAGTGGGCCATGAGAAACCCGAGAACACAGAACAGGGACTGATCCATACCCAAGCTCCATCACACCGTGGTGTGAGCGGAACCGAGCCTGGAAGCAACCAGTGACACTGACCTTGGGAAAAGCAGTAATTCTGTTCAGTTCTGAACTTCGAGTAAGCAAAGCAAGGGGTTAGCAGTGATTTAGTGCATTTCTTCTAATTTTATCTTTCGAGGTCAAGATTTTAGAAGCGCTTATTCCCACTTGTAACCTATAATTTTTGATGCCCAGATGGAGACTCCTCTAACGATCTTGGTTTTCTAACAGCATGTACCCAGCACTTTTAGAAAGTAAGATCTTTTTAAAAGGTATCACAAGTGAGCAGTTGTCTTTGAAAGCACTGCCTTAGCCTGTAGGCTCTTGGAATGATGACTGCCTTTCGCATGGGGTTTGTAAGCTTACCAACTCGGCGGCCTACAGATCTAATCTCATATGACATTTTCAGGAAGCTGCCATAGAAAGACACCAATCATTTCAAAGCCAGAGATGTATTTCATTTATGAGCGTGTGATTTTTTTCTAACTGGAAAAGAAACATCCTTTTCATTCATTTAAAATATATGTTAATTCAGCTCAACCTAGCAGTATTGCTTATTTTCATACCTTCATAACTGAAGGATCCTGATAAAGAAAACAAATATCTATTTCCTTTGCTACATTTCTTCTATACTGGAACTAATTTTATAATAAATTTCAAGGCAGGACATTTCAAACATGAGACTGCTAGGAAAAACACCTATTTCCAACATCCGTGTAGCAACTATTACTTTCAGTGTGGTAAAATCTGCTTTCAGCTGCATTGACTAGTATGTGTCAGAAAGGCTGCAGGTATCTCACTTCATGCTTCTCACGTAGCTTGGGACATTCCAGTATTCTGCAGATTACTGCAGACTTGTTGCATCTTGCTTCTTAACATTGAGCAGCAATGCTAGCTTTGAAAAATTTCATACAATGACAAAAGGAAATGGTTGCCAGCTCATTCCTAGATTTACCCTTTTTCTTTATTGTTCACTGAATTATAAGCACTGAGGTGTGAGAACTAATGGAAATTAATGCAAAAACAAAACACCTCTTTGGGGAGCTACTGATCCAGGTCAACCACCACAAGAGAAGGAGGAACGAGGATTACCAAGGGCTGGGAAATGCAGCCAAGGGGAACTGCAGCAAGAACAGGATGGTTCCACACTGCAATCAGTGCCCCAGGCCAGATGACACCAAGTTTGGTTTCATTTCACCATGAAATCATCCCCTGGCTGTTCTGGGCTGAGTGGGAGGAATCTCTGCACTTTTGTTGTCTAGGTAAAAGCAGCTATTGTTGCACATCCTTATTACCTAAGCCTGATATGCAGAGTCAACAGTGCCAGAGCTCAAAGGTTACCTGAGGGTCTGCCTGTCGTAGCTGGTGTCCTGCAGCCCACTGCACCCAGCTCCCAGCCCCAGTCCTGTGTTGTAGGGCAGCCAGACAAGCCTCAGGGCTGGAGGAAGACAGCAAGCTGCTGGGCTGCCAGAGACACTGCCTCTCTGCTTCTATTAAAACGGTGCTAAGCCATTAATCAATGGGCTGAACACAACACCCAGCAGTTAAGAAGGAAAACAGGGATGTGGGTGATTCTTGATCAGACAATTTTGTTTTGATTCCTGACTGGTCATTTGTTGGTCAGGCTTGCTTGATTTTCCCCTCATTACTAAAACCTAGTAGCTGACACAGTCTTGAAGGTTACTTAATGTTGTTTGTAAAATGCACTGTCATTACGGTAGAAAAATACAAAGAGGGAAAAGGGAGGAAGTCTCTTCTTGCTTTTGATTTTTGAATTTGCTTGCCAAGCAGGAAACCAACATTTCAGTTTTGGAGCAGACAGAAAAGGTGGGTCTATAAGCACAACATCTAGAGCTTCAAACATTATAATCCCAGTTGCAAACCTTTAGTACTCATTAATAAATCCATGTTAGATGATTTTAACAGCTACAAAAATATGGAATTAAATATAAATGTTTCCTTTCAGTTCTACTTTTTTTTTTTTTTAGGATACCATTATGACATATTTTTCATTTTCACTCCTGAGCCATGAAACAAGATGCTTTGGTTCAAAGGATCAGGGACACAGATGTACCACTACACGACTCCAGGAGCAGACTCTTTAAAACAAACAGCAGCCAACAGGGAATTGTTATTTCTGCAAATGTGAACTCAGGGTTTCTTATTTTTTTGAAAACACTTCTTCTTCTGGGCAGCATGCTCCCATAACCAGGTGCTCATAATCCACCTGAATACATTTTTAATACCGGTCCATAAATATGCTACTGAATATTCCCATGTGGGACCTCTGAAAGTGGATGTCTCTACATGCAATAAACTCCTTGGCATTATTTATGTATTTCTGCATTGCTCCCCCTGCATGGTCCCAGGTCCAACAAGGGCTGTAAAGAGGCAGCTGGCATGCAGCCTGCATGCAGCCAGCATCGGCATGGCACAACATGGGACAGAGCTCAGTGCAGTGCGAGAGCCATCATCAGCCACTACCTGCACATGGGAAGGTGGGATCTTGGCTCACTTGCAGCTTTGCACTCTGGATCAATGGCAAATCTCATCTTAAGGAAGGCTTCAGGGTGGCCTTCAAAAGATAGAGAAGACATATCTACTGTCACTTTATGCTGATGTATTTTTCTTCCTATATTCTCTCTTATGCCGAGACTCTAAGGAGCTCAGCTGGGGACACCCTGGTTTGAAAAGGAAAAAGCACTTCAAGACAGATGATGAAGATTCAACAAGGTCGAGCAAATCCTTTCTCCTATATTCTGACTAAAGAGAAAACTCACTTCTTGCTTGTGATGCAGGGCTCTGTAGCCTGTATCAGGCAATTTTGAGATGAAACATTTCTGGGAGAATGGATGTCATGGCAGATGCTCTCAGCAGGTAACCTTCCAAAAAGCCAATTAGTCAGAGGTTATCGCAG